CACGTGCTGGAGGGATCCGGACCTTCCCAGAGGTGGGGGAAGTGAGGCGTGGCCTGGGAAGTGAGGCGTGGCCTGGGAAGGGAGGCGTGGCCTGGGCGGAGCCGGCCACGCCAGAGAGACGAGATATAAGGGTGGTGTGAAGGCAGAGCAGGGCTGTTCCTGAGAAGAATGAAGACACCTCGTGAAGATGCCAGAAGAGAAGACTTACAGTGAGCGGACTGCCAGCAGCCACCTGGCTGGGTCACGCTGGAGAGAGACTAAAATACAATTGTGTGTTAGCTAGTGTAGGTCGGTGGTCACCACCCTATGTGTAGAGTAAGAGTAACTGTTGAGTAAACGTTGTGTTAATTAATAAATGAGTGTTGCCTCCCAAGAAGTGTGTGCGCCTAAATTGAACCCACTACACTTGCGCGCTTACGACCGTGCAAATCTTTCGGTCGTTTTTTAACCCACTTCCCGTGATCCAATCGAGCTGACATTTTGCACACAGACTCGTTGTGCGTGACAATTTATTTTCGTGAAAAATTTTTTCCATAACTTTACACTTTTTAGGATTTTTTGTTTAAATTTTTAATTACCAATTGCTTAATGGTGGCAGGCAATCATCTGACCCATAGGTGGCAGCCATCTCAAGCCAGAAGACGAGAGGACTCTAGCCGCCACGCATATAAAGGATTTATAGTGAAAAACTTTGTTTTTAAGGGTTAATTTTTTTCCTGTGAATCTGTTGAGGCATATATGGATGAGTCAATGCCACAGCGCAGCCAGAGATCACGAGTCGTGCGTCCGTCCTGTAGCGCGCGAGCGAGAGGCGTGGCACTGTCCACCACGGGACATTCCACCAACCTTGTGGTGGCTGTACCACTACCGCCCAGCCAGCCATAGCATCACTCGGTCTGCCGTGGTGTCACCCTAATCTGCCAGCTCTGCGAAGAGCAGCACGTCAAATGCACACACATCATTGTGGCACAGGATGCAACTATAACTTTAATATAACCTTAACCCCAAAAGCAAATCAAACCTAACCCAACGATAACCCCAAATCATAAAGTTCATTTATTAGGTATATCAGGTAAATCATAACCTTTCACTTAACTTTAAGTCTATCCCCAAGCTATTCCAAAACCTAATTATTACTATATCTAATCGATATCAACCCTATACATAATTTAACTCTCACTTAACCATAACTCTAATATTTAGCCCTAACCTGAACTCTCAACCCTCATCATTGCTCAACCTGAAGCTAAATTAAACCATTGCATAACCCCACGGTAATTATGACCATTTACATTCGACCAAGTAAACCCAATCTCCTTGGATTATACATGACCTGATTACTCAATTTGTAATTCTAAACAAACTCTAAGCTGAAAAAAACTACCCTTTAATCTAGACGGCTGAAAACTGAACGTAAAAAAGCTACGATTACTTTTCTGTTTAAATATGCAATTTTAAAAGCTCTCAAGTTTGTGAGTGGTCTTGCAGATCTCACACCTTAATCTTACATCATCTCTTATGGTTCTTCATATTTTTTCCTTCCAAAATCGCACTTCCAACTCAATGGAAATGGAAGCACAATGCTCTTGGACCAAGCCTTCCAACTGTTATTGCAAGGATAATCTATTTATCTTCCAGTGGGTTCAACCATGCTCATAAGATTCCTCGCCTTGGTGCCTCCCTTTCACACAAATGAAACCTCATTGCTACTCCATGTCACTTTACAGGGCCGACTTCTCATACACATAGATTGAACACCCCGAGCAGTGAGAAAATCTGCCCGTGCTGTCGTATGCAGAATTTGGTGACACTGCCCCTCAGAGTGTGCAGAGGGCAGCTGATAGCACAGTGGTGCTCAGTTTCTTTGTTACTGGCTGCATTGTGAAATTTGATGGCACTGGAGAAAGCTATATCCTAAAATCCTTCAGCTACTGATGTCAGTAAAGTTGGAAACATGTATATATTTATACATCTCGTGCGGGTTCTTTGACCATCCTTCACCGTGCTGGTCAGTGTGAGTTGGTGAAGGCATGGAGCATAGACTACAGAACGTACAGCATTTTGTGCACTGCCACGCTCTGTCTGGTGCCATGCTGCCTCGCAGCCTATTATACACCTGTTTGTGCATGGTCACCTAATCCAAGCAATAGTCAAACACACACCTGAGGCCTGAGTACCGAACAGCGAATACAAATTCTGTAAATTGCTTTCCCTTCGGGATGAACGCGAGAAGATTGTGTATCCGTGAGGTCCTGCACACGGTTGGGACCACCCTTGAGTCTGCCATTATTCACGTGTAAAGAAGCTGCGTGGAGACGTTCATGAAGATGAAGGTAAGTCTTTATTTTCGCGTGTAGATGTTCAACAGCTCCGCGATGAGTCCCACTGTTGTCACCCATTTGTTGCCGTCGTCCCAGGCAAGCGCTCCGACTTGTGGCGACGCGCTCCTTTTTGTATTTTTACACTCACTCTCTTGTTGTCGTATCCTCAAATCTTGTAACTCAATTTTAACCCACTTCCCAATGTGGTATCAACTACAAACTTGGGATACTTATGTCATGCTGATGACAATACCATATTCTATCATAAAAAAATAAACAAAACATTTTAAAACTATATTTTTACACGCTTTCTATGAACTGTCTGTTGTTGTTGTATCCTCAAATCTTGTAACTCAATTTTAACCCACTTCCCAATGTGGTATCGACTGAAAACTTGGTATACTTATGTCATACTGATAATACTATATTCTATCATAAAATAATAAAAACAACTTTTTTTTAAACATTATTTTTTATATGTTATGTTTCGGCTTTGTTCTAATTGTCCACAGTCAACTGACGTTGCCTGTAATTGGCCACGGTCCTTTACGTAATGGCAAGCTTCGGGGCCACTTCCTGGAGTCGTGGAGTTCTTCCATTACTAGTACATTTCATAAAAGCGTGTTTACAAAAAAAAGTACCCATAAATAATTGATTGGTACCCCAGTCGCGGAGTTAAGGAACACCCCTGGGGAAAAAAGTATTTAATACTGGTAGGAACCTCCTGGTTACACCAGCCCACAGGTGATTGTTGTGTCCGTCCGTCATGCAGGGAGGGGCTGGGTGGGGAGGGGCTGGGTGGGGAGGGTGGAGAGGGGCTGGGTGGGGAGAGGCTGGGTGGGGAGAGGCTGGGTGGGGCTGGGTGGGTAGGGGCTGGTCACCCCGTGGTGCCCTTATAAAACTCAACATTTAACCTACTCACGCCGGCTTGTGCCCGCCCCCACATTCGGGCATATTTGCGGAATACACCACGCCGCCGTTGACCCTGGCCATTGACCGAGCAACCCAACGTTCCTACCAGCTCCCTCCGCAGGAATGTGTTTGCCTCGCACATTTTGTATTATTTGGTACCCCGGGGTACCGCCGTAAGGATCATTTGGCCTTTTAACAAGACTATGAGCGAGCACTTTAAGGCTGACACGGCACAGGATGCAGACCAACAATAGAAATGCACTCTTACGCACGTAAAGATGTTCCCCCACGCACACTTAACACACACTCGAAAATGTACACACATTCCACTCTCACAAATAAAATACACGCAAATTTCACTTTTAAAAAGGCACACATTAACAAACGTGTACAATGCACAACTCACCTCGGCTCATTCTATGAAGTTGCACGAAGCAATTGCACCACGGGCGGGTTAGGGTCACACAGAGGACTTGATGCAACAGCAAGCATGTTGCATGAGGATTCTATCCCTGGCCGCTGATTGGCTGGCTAGCGGTGGGGGGCGGGTACAGGGCACTCGTCGACTTACGAACTTACGAGCATTCGACTTACGAACATTCAACTAACGAACTTTCGACTTACGAACATTCGACTTACGAACAGACCTCTGAAACCTAACTCCATAATCTGTCAACCCATACGGGTTACCCGTATTCTTGTAGAAGGGAAATTCAGGTCCACACGGCGTACAGCCGTTTCAATAGGGGCAGCAAAGTTGTTGTCTATTTGTGTTTCTCCCTTATGGGACTTTAGGATGTATAAGGGCATAGGGTGACCAATAATGTCTGCATTTGTCTGTAATAAGGAAGGCACTGATATGTGGTTGACAGGTATGTAACTCGTTCCTAAGTAGAGGAGTCCCTGTACGGCTGAGTCGGCAAAAAACGGGCACTCCTTGCGAAGCAGCGCGTACGTCGAATTGTGCTGTACAAAGCATATTTTCTCCATTGATAAGCATGTTATAGAGGGAGGGGGGGGGGGGTGCGTTACCGAAAAACATTTTGAAAAGTAAAAATTTTGTTCACTATTTTAGCCCCGGGGTTTACAAAATACTTAACATGAACATTAGAACAAAAATGTTATATATATATTTAAAAAACTACTTTTTATTATTTTATTATTTCCCTTCTACGTGACTTTACCGAAAGAACCAAGAATATTAGAAAAATAGTTACGAGGTTACTAACAAATAATGACGATTACAATTATTACTTACAAAGATGACGGTTTAAGGAGTAATTTCAGGGCGTCTTGACCTCTTCCGTGAACTGCTTGCAGCAGCAGCACACGTGATGCTAACAAAGGCAGCAGATCTACAATGGCTATGCCCCGACCGTGCGTGACATTGGACGCTGCCACGATGCGGTGACGCCATCAGAACGTTTTTTTCTTAGATTATTTTTCATTGAATATATTTTTTTGGTATAAAAAATTAAAATTTACAATTGTTTTTTCTTTTTCTTGAGCGCGTAACTGTAAACCCCACAGCGTGTGAAGTATGTCCCTAGAAGATGAATCGCGAAACTGCTAATTCAAGTTGTGGTGGGGGGAGGGCATTACACGCGATCTTGATGCCTATGCAAATCGCTGCTTGGTAGGATTTTCACCGTTTTTTTCTGTACTCAGGCCCCCGATTAGTTTCTGAGATCTGATGAGATCTGGCACATTCAGAGTAATTTTTAAACGCATTAAATTAAGTTTTTGCGTATAAAACACAAACTGCAGTTATGAAGTGAAAGTGAATGATTTATTCCACAATTTAATCTAACAAAACCTAGTGATATTTCTGGCATCAAGGAAAAAAACTTACAAAACATTTTTCAATGCAAAAGATGTTAAATAAATACAAATAATTGTGTAACCAGTCATATTTGGCCAAACCCAGAGTACAAAAATATAACCAATATACGTACCTATACAGTTGCCTTACCTATGTAAACGAAGCTACCTCTGCTGAAATCATAACTTGTATTGTTCTTGACTTGCATCCAATGCGAAGCAAATTTCCTTAATAGCCACCGTTCTTGAACTAAAATTCTGACGAAGTTTCAAAACTCACTTGTGGTATATCGCTAAGAAATGACAGATTTTGGTTTTTTAGCAGTTGTGGTGACAATGAGCATGGTGGATTGACAGATAGTTGGTGTTCCATGAGTTAACACTGCATCAGGGCACGGGTGTCGGTGACATTGGCCACTGCGAGACAGTGTACAGCTGCCATGGAATGTTTTACTCTGGACAGAAAAGCAACATTAAACAAGGCTGCAGGGCACACACAAGCCATGCAAAACACCACACGTCATAGTTGTTTTGTTTAAGAAAACACTACCGCTACCTCTAAAACCACAGAGCTTTTAGCTGAAGTGATTTACGCCGTCCTCTAACAGTACATAGCTATTACATTTGAACATCATGCTACTCCCTAAAGCATTTGCTAACATCTAAATCAGACAAGACGGTTACAATAGTTTTACTGTTAACAGCTGCCACTAATCACTTCCACATTTTTCTGTAACAAGAGGAACATAAAATAACAAATAAAAACAGTAATAATATGCAGTTTTCCTGCAGTTTCGACAGCTGTGCAGGTGGCAGGAACCATCCATTAGTGATGAGGACACCACAGTAAGCAAGAGGCACCTCAAATTTCAACCTGCACAATGTGCTACCATTCATCTCCAGCAAGGAGCTGATCAACTTGGGTAGATGCATACTCGCACGCATTTCAAAAATGATATTGACCAGGTTATTGGGGTCAAATTTTATATTGTTTTGGAAAAACCTGCACTCAATCATGTCCAACTTCTCCCATGGAGCCTTATGGATTACAAAATATTCTATCATCCCAGCCTTCAAGTATTCAACGCTATTTCCCCACCTTCATCTCAACAATTCATGTGATGGATCAACAAACTTACGGTATTACGGTCTATGGCACACTATTAAAACGGGTAAAACAGTTAAGTGCTGACTCGTATATACTGGCAAGCAGTATACAAAAATAAGTCACGGTATGCTGCATACAAGTTATATTTTGAATGATGTTGACTTCAAGAAAAATAAGTGCAACTTGTGAAGGTTACCAGTCTTGCCCAGCACGCTTTAAATTATGCTGACATATACAAAGTAGCAAATCTGAATTTGATCACAAGCAATCACTCATTGGTCTGAATGATAGCTCAGAACCATCAGTGAAACAGTACACAACTCCGAGATATATAGCAGAGGGAACCAGTGTGATAGAAATGTTTTCCACAGTGAATGCAAATGATATTCACGACATAAAATAGTCGACCTTATCTCCACTAACGCGAGTTCATTGATGTTAAAAATTAAACCAAGCCTCCTATCAATACTTTAAATCAATATATTTTTTCAGTGTATCGATGCCAATAAATATGGAGAGCAAGCCTAATATAAGTTAGCATGTGCCTCTGATCACCCAATTAGGGGAACAAAAACATCTAAAACTTAAGACGTATTTATTTGTATTGTTTTTAGTAGTAAAAGATCCACAGAATATGAATGGCACAGGTAATTCATCACAGTGGTTCAAGCCAACCAATCACATTTTTTCAACAGCTGGCAGCCAGATTGTTTTTTTCTAAATAAGCATACCGTGACTTAAATATAAAGAATGGCTCATCTTAATGTTTTATACTGGATCAAGCAATCAAGCTGATTTGATGTAACATTGTCATGGTTAAGATTCCAGATCACAATACAGATTTCTGTAATGAACATCAGGTAGTATATGCCAAGACCACATCGTATACTTCATATAGGGGGAGCAAAATAAACTACAAATTCTGGCCACTGGACAGAGAGACCAACACCAATAATGCAGCAACACGGTGGCATCTGGAAATTAGAGCTTGGAGTAGAGGACAGTGGCCCGAACGAAGGGCAGGGCGGCCACAGGGGTTACTTGCAGTTGCTCAGGGGCCTAAGTCTATCTTGATGTCCTCCTCATACCGTGCGATAACCAGCATAATGCCAAAACCCATGAGCAGCCCCAGGTTTTGCAGCAGGAAGCAGCCGAGTCTTCCATAGCTGTGGCTGTCAACCTCACAGTGCAGCATCTCAGGAAGCTGTAAAGGGCAGTAATGTAAAAAAGCAAATCATATGTTATCAAAAGCACAAGGCAGGAATTATCTGGACTAAAGGTCCATATTTAAACACAAGCTATGTGATTGCTATGCACAATTATGGGACTATACATAGAAAGCTTTACACTTTTTAAATATAAGATATGAAAACTAAATGTCCATGACATTTTGTATAACATAGCGAGGTATGGAGTGGTTTTAATTGCAACAATGGCCCCTGAGTATTTAAAACTAGAGCAATGTGTAACCATGGCAACTGTGCTAGTCTACGGAACAGAGCAGAAATTGGTATCACTTAAGTTATAAAAACTTTATTTATACGATTTATTTATACGGCTAATACGAGTGAATTATTTGATAACTCACTCATTTCAAAAGGTTATCACGTAACTTACTGTGTCATTGGTCACGTAGAGAAATTGGAATGACTGAAGTTATGCCACCTCAGGTGGTACCATCAAGTTCAATATATGATTGTAGCTCAAGGACTATGTGTGGTAGGGTGATGCAATTTAATCAGCTAATGCCATTACTCAGTTTAACACGTAGGCTTTCGCGACCAATATTATTCATAATCAACGTTTTTGGGTTAGATCACGTTATTTATAAATGTGTCGTAACCCTCCACCACCCGACATGGCCAATCAGCAAAAAAAGTGTCACGTTGACAAAAAGACAAATAGTTCACTACTTTAGCCCACCGGTGTGTTGAAGCGTGAAACCACAACATTTACAATTTTTGAGTACGACGTTTCGCTGGTAATTGCATCCAGCATCATTGGGCAATGATGCTGGATTCTGGCGAATTGCCTGATGATGCTGGATGCAATTACCAGCGAAACGTCGTACTCACAAATTGTAAATGTTGTGGTTTCACGTTTCAACACACCGGTCGGCTAAAGTAGTGAACTATTTGTCTTTTTATCAACGTGACACTTTTTTTGCTGAGTGGCCGTGTCGGGTGGTGGAGGGTTACGACACATTTATAAATAACGCGATCTAACCCAAAAACTTGATTATGAATGCCATTGCTGTACATTCAATGGTCAGCAAACGCACCATGTCCACAAGAGCCACGTAGAGAAAGATCCCAGCCGTCGCAGCAAAGATCCAGGTGGTGACGCTGTGTGTGTACTGCCCCACCGCCGTGCCAATGACCAAGCCCAGGTAGCCCAGCAATGCTGACAGCAGATTGTACACAATAGCCTGCTTCACTGACATGCCTGCTTTGAGCAGGACTGCAAAGTCACCTGCACAGAACCAATACAACAGCAAAAGTTGAGATGCATATGCATAGAAATGGCAAAACACAACCCTCAACCTGTAATTCTCACATGCCAGCTTCAAGCAGTTTACGTGTATCCAACTTAGAGCATTTTCTTATTCTAAATTTCAGTATATTTAAAACGTAATGAAGTTGGTTATAAAATAAGGGCCTCATCGTATGTAATTTTAATCTTCAATCATTTATGGCCTTAATGAAAAATGATCAAAGTGGCTTTCTTACCAAGCTCATGAGGCAGCTCATGACAGAAGACAGCGATTGAGGTGCTGAGTCCAACACTGGTACTATCACTGAATGCAGCCCCTGCAAGGAAATTCATCATGACCAGAGTATGTGCACAATCCACAACAAATACTTGGTTAGGTCATTAAGAGAACAAATTGAATATGCTTAAGTTATTTAAAGCAAATCCCTGAACACAATAGACTATATATATTTATAATTTGTAGGTTATATGAAGTGAACTTAACAGGCCACCGTTCTAAAGGTCGCCAATGAGTGGCAAATGTGTCTTTGGGCAAATTACGTATTTTCGTTAATCCTAGGCCACCCGATTCTGCTCAGTGTATCTCACATTATTTCTTTACAGACATGCATGCATAACAATTGATTGACACCCATACACAAACACTTACATATGCATGGCAATAAACCCATGAGACGCACGGGTGAGGATGCGTACCGATGGCCAGGCCGTCACTGAAGTTGTGCACGCCGTCGCCAAGGATGACCATCCACGCGATGCTGGATACCCCGGCATCGCGCACGTCCTCCACCGCCTCCTCCTCTCCCGTGCAGTGGCCATGCGAATGGTGATGGTGCAGGTGGTGGTGGTGATGGTGGTGGTGGTTGCTCGACTTGTCCGACACCCCCGAGGCCGAGGTTGTCATGGTAGGCGTAGCCGCCTCTCCGTCGGACATATCGTAACCACCAACCTGTTTTCCATCTGCTTGAGCTCCCACTGGCTGCTTCTGAGGTTGCTCATCATGATAGTGATCGTCTTCATCATCGTGTGACCCATGGCAGATCATGGCCTCCTCTTCCGGAGGCACGGAATGGTTATGATGGTCCTCGTGTGACTTGGATGCATGTGTTGCTGCACCATTCACGTCGCAAGAGTAGTGGTGGTGGTGGTCTGATGAGAAACAATACAAGTTGCATGCAGTTGCTCGGTCGCACCTATTTAACATTTCCAAACATGTGCCCAAGCTTTTAATGGTCTATGCAATAACCCAATGTTCAACATCAAGTTAATACTTAAGATCAATTGATTTGTTTACAACTGCATGAAACAGCTTGATGCTCCATGATACGTTCCAGTGATTAATTAAATGTGAAAAGGTTAAGAATGTTATGTACATACATTTACCAAAAGCTTTGTTAAGCAATATAAAAAATGTTGTTTTGCTCATTTTATTTAAAACCCATGTCACCGAGTTCAATTCATGTATGCAGCCCAAAATCTAATATAGGAAGCCTGCAGGGCTAGGTAGGAACATGCTTTTCTGTTATAAAGGCTAGCAATGCTCTCAAACGTCCATTCTGCAGTTAATACATAATGCATTTATTTTTAAAAAGCTGCCTGTCCCAGAAAATAGTCTTTGAGCCACAGTGACCTTAAACCACATCGATAAGATAAGAAAACAAACATCGATGTCTGCACACACACTCCCACACATCTACAATTAACCTTTAATACAAGAGGCAACAGAGGACAACCCTGTACACTACTTTTATATTTTGAGAAAACCTCAATATGCCAGAGAACTGCCGAGCATGTCCACACTTCCCAGGGGCAGGCTGATGACTCACTGTTGTGTTGCTTAACAGAGATCAGCTCGAGTTCTGTGCTGCCAGACAGGTTGTGGTTGGACAATTTCCTTCCAACACACTTCTCTGCCTCTTTAACCTTGCGCCCTTTCTTCTTCTTTTTGTTCTGAAAATAAACGCAGTGATGACATTTACTTTGTTGAGATGATTTTTTAATAAAAGGAAATGTTTAAAATCAACAAAACAAATGACTTTTAAATGTTGTGTTTATGCTAGGAATTAACATCACAAAACTATTTATTTTACTGACACGATAGGTTACAAGTAAATAATTTGTACATAATTTATATTTCAAAGGTTATGATGTATTCCCTAAACTTTATACAATTTAAATTAAAATAAGCTCATGTTCAAATATTTTTGCAATCAATCTCAAGCAAAACATAACATGTCAGTGCCAATATCCTTTTTTTTAATCAGGTTGCAGCCACATCTTACCTTATCTGGCTTGTAGTGCTTGAAAAGTGCCAGCAAGTGTTCCACAATAAACATGAGGTAAATACCACCTAGGCCAGTGAGGCCCTTCCAGATTCCGTCCAGATGATTGTCACTGTCCAGGATGTGGTCGTGGTCATCATGTCCATTATGTGAATGCGAGTTTTGCGACTGCACACAGCACACAGTTTCACTTAAGAGCAGTGCTTGTGTAAATCTGCAATGTCCGAGTGGAAAAAAATACATTCTCATGATAACGCACGCTATGTGCGAAATTATGTGCCACGTAAAAAAAATGGTAAGTAGGGCACTATTTTACAATACCGACTCAGTTATTAGCTGTAATACCGACTTATTCGCGGGAAAAAAACTCTCTTAACCTAGCCTATGAAACTCAGTTTGAATTGCAGTGTCCAAACATCACCACTGGAGACAAAAGGTGGCCGAGCCCAGTGCTTCCGACACACTCCTTGTGTACCGTACAAGGCAAAAACAGCACTTGCCTCCATACATCTGCATTTGTTTTTGTGCTAAAAGTGCACAATTGCATCACTGCATGCTGAGCAGCATGAAAAGAGGGCTTCTTGTGCTTGTGCACATATGCGGCGTGCGTGTGTGGTGTTAGAACGAGACCCATCGGTCGGCAGACCGTGCAGGTACACACGCACGCTCCAAACGTACGTGGGGCAGAAGGTGCAGCAAGGCGTCACCGCTCAGCGTGCCCACAGCCAGAGCAACCAAAAAGGTCAGCAGGTACTTGAAAAACACCTGGTTCATCATCGGCACAATGGCCACGCCCAGCAGAGATAGCATGGAAATGATGGTGATGGAAAGGAAGCCCCAGCCCCAGGCTGCAACAGCAAGGTAACAAGAATCATGCACATTTCTCAGCAAGACACATACATTGCTGCACACAAAGGCCAATCCGAAATATTGCAGAATGAGGATTAGTTCCATTACAGGTTGTACAAGATATGGGTTGTCATGAAAATCGACAGCTTACAAGTGAATGTACCGTGGTCATAAATGTTACAATTTCTGCTTCATAAATTAATTAAAACCCTTTGCATTTATTTCTTACAATGTTGTCTATAAAGGCATGTATTCAAAGTAGAAGCCCCATTAGTGGAAATTCTAGTCATTACATGTTTAAAGCCACACATGTTTAAACCCTAGATACAAATATATCAAACGTGGTGGCAATAACTCATAGTGTGGGCCCCGAGTCCCTCACCACAGTTCACCGAGCTTTAACAAAGAGTCACAACAGAACATTAGCTTTGACACTTAAATAAATTACGTGTATATTCACTTTATTGCATTGCATTCAATCAAGTGTCAAGAATGACAGCCAACAGCGACTTGTTCATCAGCTCGTGACAAGCACACATTGGATATGGATCCCTTCCATATACCATTCTCCACCTATTCCAACACATATATACATTTTGGGATACCCAAGCAAACACCGTGTATTGTCACTTATTTTAGTACAATAGCGAGTGCCAAGATATATTTATGTGTGAAGCTTAGTTGGGCTATGGGTCCCTTTATAGTGTTAAGGCAGTAAGTTGCCACTAGACACTGATGCTCTCTCACAGTTGAGATCCATCCACATATCAAGCTTCTCACCCAATTTCACGCTGGAAAGAACTGATGTGTGGATGGGGATGCTAAAATAGCACCGTGTATGGTGAAACTACACATAACTATGATTTATTGCGGAATTCGTGTGCACATATTGCCTATAGACTCCATATTGGAATGTTTAAAAGAGGCCAAAACAATCTACTTGGATATCAAGCACGTAAGGAATTGCAAGTTTAGATACAAAAACTATGTAAATTAAGCCACATTTTGGTACCTCATGAGGCCGTAGAATTACAGCTTTATTACTGACAATTGACAACCTTCTGTCAATCCACTACTGGATCAATGCCTCTCCTATGCAATGTTAGTCATGGGGGGTTGTTTAACCATACTTTACCATGCTGGTTAATGTAGTTGTTGAAGGCGGGCCCAAGACTGGTTTAGATATAATTTGCAATTGATGTTGGTCAAGGCTGAGAATCAAACTCTCGCAACTGGGTTCACAGAACAGTGCGCTAACCACTGTGCGATCAGTGAAACAAGTGATATATAAGACGGTCTTGGCGCCTCCTCCTGAACCAACCCACAAGCGGGTGAAGTATGGTGAAACATGCCCAATAACCAACATGGCATTGGGAGGTACAGATCCTGCACTGGATTGACAAATGCCTGTACATTATATAAGAAAATCCTTCGGAAAATAAAATACACTTTTAATTTAAGTAACATATAAAATTCAGTTAAGCTTATTAATGAGAAAGTATTTTAATAAGTTTAAAATAGTTCCCTTTGTCAATAAGGAAAAATATTGCATCCCAGAATAAACCAACCATGTGTATATTTATATCCAGGAAAAATAGCAACCTCATTCTCACTGTTGCTAGATAGCAGTGATCCTCTTGTGCTGTTATATTTTAAGCACAATGCACAAATTTGCACACCACTCATGTATTTTAAATGACAATAAAGAATATCATATTGCAGTATAAGCTAAGAATAAGGTCAGAAATGGTGATGCATTTACTTATAAAAATGTGAGCAGCTTACCAGACGCATCTGCAGGTAGTTGTTTAGGCAGAAAGTGCAAGGGATGGGAAATAACAGTTGTGGTTAAGTTAACGGCATTACAGCAGACATCCATCAAGAACGGCGATTGTGCATGCAATACTTGTAGTATTTAAAAAGCATTTACTGGTAATTAAAATGCATTTAATAATTGTACATTTTAATTATAGATTAAAAAAACTGTTTCCAACACGTTATTAGACTTTAATGAATATGCATGACTATCTGTTGAATGTTCTCTTGTCGAATCTTACCAAGCTATTGCTGATGAAATTAAAAATAAATCACTCAAGCTCTATTAAGACCAAAAGAATCAGACTGAAAGACAAAAAAACACTAAGTTTATTAGATAAGCTCCAGTGGGCACTACAATTGTTGGAATGTTTCCCAATTAACAACATGTTCTGAAATAAATCACAATTATCTTTTTTTTAAGATAATAGGAATTTACACAATGCACCCTTAAGTATCCTTTGCGCCTTGATTACTGTATTTGATACGAGCAGTGTTTGTCAAAGTTAGGAAAATGTGCATTGTGGCCCGTCCTCGGGGTACAACCAGTTTAATTCAATTTACATTATTTTCTAAGACCCTACATTACATTATATGATCACAGAAAATAATTAATGTAAATTTAATTAAATTGGCTGTACGACGGGGTCAATCCAAAGCTCACAATTTCCTACATATAACTCATATGCAATGGGCATATAAATTGTGAGTCAGGTACACCGTTTATGCAAGAGACTTGAATCAACACTTTAAAGTTAACATTATCATGAATCATGGTGAAAATGTACCTGGCATGTTGGAGTCGGTGCTTGATGGCAAATCAATTTTGTTGGGAGGCTCTGGATGTTTGAGACAGGCCTGGCTGTCAATTTGGTAGAGGATGGCTGGACACAGGTAGGAGAACAGTTCAGTGTTGATCACAGCACTATCTACATCCAAGCCAAAGTTGTGGAATAGTCGGCTCGCGTTCAGGCACTGTGGAAGAACAGCATAAAATCAGTTTCAAATTTCACTTTGGTACATAACGTGCACATTGCAAACACGTGTGAACATACACGTGCTCACATATGCAGTGTGTACATATTCATAACTCAAGATTTTGCTCAAACTAACCCAAACAATCCACAATTAATGGAGATTTTGTCAGATGTTATATTTTCTTAAATGGTAATGGTTCACATTGCATCTGGAAAGCAAATTTTCAAACTAAACGTGGTTTTATAGAAACACGAGGCTTCCGAGAATTTAGAAGCCAGTTATATGACTTATAGTTCAATCAGATCTTAAGAGACATGGCAATTGACCAAACTGTCTTTGCCAACATACAATAATGAGTCTCCCAATTCCTAACAGAGCTTTAACATGATTATACATCTTGTGCATTGTACCCAAGATGGAAAATCATTGCAAGCATTGGCCAGAGATAAAAGGTCAAGACCAACATCACCAATATAATTTATTTTATGTCAATGACTTTTAATTCTCATTTTCCAACATAAATTAATAGGAAAATTTAAATAAACGAATTTACATGTAGGCAATGAATTTTTATTTTAAAAACATTTTTTACATTCATGCGAGATATAGAAACCTAAGGGGTTACCTCATCATGCACATGCCCGTTTTCAGCCATTGCGTGCAGCTCCAGTTCATTGTGATCCCCGGTGTCGTGGTGATGATCAGCATCACGCCCCAAGTGTCTCTGTACCCTTTTTGACCATTGCTCAATCTGCTTTGTGCTTGATGGAGACTCCTGGGTAGCAGCTGCAGCAGTCCCTGCAGTGCTTGTTTGACTCTTTCCAATGTGTTGCTTTATTCTCCTCCTAGATGGTTTTGGGGATTTTTGCATGAGACGCTGTGCGGCACGTGGAATCTCTGTTTGGCTGACAAGACTTTCTGTGCCATTACTGGATGTGGACTTGTGTGGAACGAACTGTCTGCTTACCATGTGAGACTGTCCCCCTCTGCTACTTGGTTGACTACTGGTGCCATTTAGAGGGCTGGCATCTGTGCGTGCATGAACATACCGACTCTCCGTCAGTCCGTCATTTTCTACACGTGCGTGGACATGCACGTGCAAGTGCTGTGTGATAGGAGTCTTTGTACTGCCAATGGAGTGTTCAGGAACAGAGTTATTTCCCGTAGCCTGGTTGTGACCATGCCTGCTTTTATCGTGATTGTGGGCAACATCATGATCGTGTGTGTGATCATGGTCCTGCTCATGAATGTGGTCATGGCCTACTCCATGGTTATGATCCTGTGGGTGTTTGTGTTCAAGTGTTGGGTCTTGTTCAAGAGCATGTACTTCTTCATGTGTGTGTTTAAGCGCGACAGCTTGATCATTTTCATTCTGCTGCTCGTGCACATTACTGCTTGTGTGCTCGTGGCCATGACCTTTGCCATGACTATGATCGCCCTGCTCCTCCTGTTTTCCACGAGCATGAACATGTGCATGGCCTCCGTCATGCGAGTTGGAGTGACTGCTGGTGTGTGCAGCTCTGAAGTCTGCCTCAGGAAAACGCACAACCCCCAGTCCTAGGCTAGCCAGAAGCTTCTCCAGTCCCTGGAAAGTAAGCCCCTTGTCGGAGCCGTACCGCAAGAACAGAAGCTGCAAATAATACTTTTGCTTCTCCGCTGCTACTTGGTTCACAGACGGCTTCTGCCTCGTGTTCCTGCTCGGGTAGGGTTCCTCGCTGATCTGGTAGTCGTGGTGGGGGTCGCCGCGATTGTCGTCCCCCCCGTCGCTGGCTGGCTGCGCGTCAGGGGGGTTGGCATCCCGTGGGTCATCACGCGTGTGTAGGGCGTGCCCGTGCCCGTTGTCGTCCTCGTATTGCTGGGCCGAGTCGGGGCTCACGCCATGGTGATCATGAGAGTGGCCGTGGTCCTCATTGCAGCAGTGGCCGTGGAAGAGCAGGGTCGTCAGGAGGCAGACGAAGCAGAATTTGGTGTGCCCCTTGCTGCCTCTCATCACTACAAACAGGAACGAGCAACAACCACCACAGCTCAGTCTCCTTCTGACAGCCAAGCTGTTTCAATGTATGAATCAAAAATAATAATGATTTTAAAAACAACATTTCAATGTGCAGCATGGAAGACAAAATCATGCTGCGTAATATAAAACGATGACGCAGACGGTGTCAATGGAAACATGACATCAGTAACACGTTTTTTTCTATCCAGTCAAATTATGTACTGCTAGAATGAATAACACACATGACCAACCTTAATGTCAACAGTGCAAAGTTAATGTAGTTTTCTAATATTGTAATATTTTAAATGAATATGTAATACCAACAGTTTGAACCAGTAATTAAGGGACACATTATTGTATTAAATACAACCAAAAACCCCAACTTAATTCACAAGTTAAACATGACTTCTAATACCAAAAAAAGGGAAAATAACATCAACATGACAGGTGGTTCAATCTATAACGTTCAAACAATAACATCGTAATCACATTTTTTTTTCCAGCGTGAACCATACGTGGGACGGCTGTACCATTTACGAGAATAATTCACAAGTCCGTACAATAAGAGTGTCTGGATTTTTTTTTATAATAATATAATCCATTTGTGCATGCAGCAGCATGCATCAGACACACCAAAGAGTTTTCCCACAAATTAGCCACAGCCATGTGTACATTAATTGTCAGCCACCTCATTAGAGACATGCACTTACTCTGCCTTCATCGAATTGGGTTGACACCATTTGGCAAAGCTTACTGCAAATTACACTGTATTTAAAACAGACTACATTTGAAAAAAAAAGTTGAAATCTAACCTTTAGTCTTATTAAATTCTTTGTGTCATGGTTATATTTTTTTAAATTATAATGCATGAAATACAAACACCACAAATGCATTATTATTTAAATAAAAAATACATTATACATGGATGCATTGGTGTGCTTATTCTATTTTAAACAGATACATTATATGCTGTGAATCAGTCACAAGATACCTTGCAAGCATAAGGATATTAATGAAATGATTTCATTCTTAAAATTAATGTTCACGATGTCTACTGTAAGATGTGCAGGTCAAGATTTAGTTTTAAATATTTTAAATATTACATTTTAATAAAAGAACAACAAACGCACAGTAATACATTTTCAACGCCATACGGAATCCAACATACAAAGGACACTACTGGATCACAACAAAATATAACCACCTTCAACATTGAACTTAAATCGTTAGTTCGGAACCTAAACTGCAAATGTATTACAAGAGTCAGACGAGTATTATTATTAGGTTTAGGACAAAGCTGCATTACCTTCAAATGTGAGCCACCACCTCAGCCGCAGCTGTAGGCTACAAGGCGAGAAGGCGATACGTGCTGCCCTGAGCAAGGCAGCGGCCAACTGCGAGGCTCAGCGCCCACTTCACTATCAGTCTTGTGTCACACGCTTGGGAAAGCGACAATTATCTGTTGGGCACAATTCAGCTAAACCCGTCCCCATTTGGAGGTATCGTTCACTCCCAAACTCTTAAATGCACCACAACATTGTCTTCCCCACGTAATTTCCTAAGCCAGAGGACTGATAGTCTGCCCTCTATCACTCACCAAGTGGCCCCCAGGTGTGTAAATTCACTTGAGCTCATAATAGCAATCACACCATGGGTTATGCAACCATCTAACACAACTGGTGGGGAATACGTCATAATCAAGGTCATTAACTATCATCTAAACAATTTTACAATACATTACTACAATAACTGTAGTTGACACTGCAATTGATCTTAAGATATATGTACAGGCCAAGTTCTTAAATGAATATGTATTGAGCAATCATTGCAGAATTCAGCTGAGGACCTGTTTTTGTTTTGCTGCCTTGCCCAAGATCGCATTTGGTGTTAAAAAATCTGCAGGAATTGATGCACTTCTGCAATTTGTACTTATACACTTAATTTTTTTTAATTTCGTGACTTGCTTAGTTTTCCTGATTCTGAAATTGAGAGGCCTTGCTGTGGTATTTTAAATCAAAATGTGTCTTTAAAACTGCATCTGTTGTGTATGTCACTCAAGATTTAGTTAAAATGTAAGTTTGGTTCATAATACAAACGTTTTAGAATGGATATTATACTGGCAAAGTGAAACATTCCATCATGGGACATTCCAATTAACATGGGTACTGAGCTCTCTTTCTCTTCCCACATGTTACCTCTGTAGGATCTCATACCTCCACCTGTGCAGCATATTCTTGCACGTGACATATCCTAACCTCAGCTATCGTCGACAATCTCATCCACACCTTAAACACATTCTGACTTGATTATTGTAACTCGCTCCCCGACAGCGTGCCCAAATCTCTCATCTCAAAAACAATTACCTTAGCAGGCTGCTCCATAAATGATACGCTGATCACGCCACTAAGTCCCAATTCAATCCTGGACCAATTTCAAGATCACATTTATCATCTTTAAGATTCTTCACAGTCTCTTCCCTGACTACCTCCCCCCCCCCATCTCAATATACTCCCATCCGTGCCCTCTCCAATCAACATTCAGCTTACTCATTCTCCTCTCCTGCTTCCATGGCCTACGACTCCCTTCCCCCCCAGCCATCTCTGCTGTTGACTCCCTGACCCTTCTCAAGTCCCAGATCGAGACCTTGTTTCTGTACAGTGTCTATGGCAGCCTCAAGAGAATAATAACAATCCTCAAGCCAAAACGGTGAAGCAAAGAAATGTTAAAAGTACACCGCTTAGCAGGTTTCTCAATGCAGTGAGTTCACCACTATCTGCTCACTTGTCAAAGGGGGCCCTCTGTTCAGATTGACGCTAAACTCAGTGCTATCCATCACAAGGACCATGCGTGCACGTATGGCCCTGCTGGATTATGTAATACATCTTTTATAGTCATATCCTCTCTATCCCCCATTAATCACACCAATATGGTCTTCTGCCCTTTCAAAAGGCATTGATAAAAACTACTTGAATGCAGTCACTTGTACATTTTTTAATGAAATATTCCCTTTGAAAACATATTGTACTGTGTTTAATGTGACAAGCAAATGAGAAAACAATGAAAGGGGAATTTTTGAAGCTTGATATTTAAAATCATGCACTTTATTATTTGTCAAAAAGCTTCCCCAGATATAGTAAGTGCTTGCTATATAAAGGCCTACAAAATCATCACAGCCTTATTCTATTTTTAAACAGGCTCATATATGGCAATTATAATACAAATTTGATCAGTTCTCATACTTTTTCAAGCAAAGCCTGAAAGACATATCTGTCTTTCATCAGCATGAAAGACGGGAATATACAGTTATGGAACCTGAGGATGTCAATAAGGTAAGGTAGCTAAATATGTTTCCATCTGTGTTTCTAATGTCATGTGTATTATAGCACAGTGAATTGCGAGCTGTGATTGGAATGTGTTATACAGTACTCAACTTGGCATCTTCTTCCAAAAGCCTGCAGCATCACACCAACTTGATATAGCAATATTTCACAATGCTCTATGGTATTTCAGTTTAAGCACAGGACACAGTATTTTATCAAATTATTTACAGCCTTACTGCAAAGCACAAGTCAATATTTCACCATCTGTCCTTGAAAATCACTTAAAAACCTGAAGCCATTTATGCTACCCGTCAACAGCATGGGCGACTTATATTTAATGTTTGTAAGTTATGCTGGTCGACAAAATCCCATCATAGCCACTGGTGAGCCATGCTTGAAGTCAATTCAGTCACCACGTAGACAATCTTCCTGAAGGTAATTTACCTCAAGTCAACCTCATTTACCAACAAAGAATATGCAGAGTAAAATAAATACAATTGTGTCAACTTGTTTATAAAACTTATCTACGAAAACCACAGAACACTTAATACCTGGATTTTAAATTTCACGTCAAATCATGCTGAATGAACAAGACTAACATATTAGTCAATTATGGAAGGTCAGACCATCATTATAACAAACATTTGGTTTGATTTTCTTTGATTCAAGGATGACTTTCAAATTTTAAAAATATAATATTTTGGGATTATAAGGACAATTTCAGAGATTTTTTTAATTTTCCGGTAATTTGCCATCATTTTCCATATCGTTGTGTTCACAAGTGACATCATCCGATGCCACGTGATATTACTTGGCCAAGAAAGCAGATAAGTTAGGTGATGTAGCTCAGTAATTTCCTGTGACATCATACTTTAAATCCGAATAAAATTATTTTAATCCAAAATAGTTTATCTTGACCTGATTAAGATTTTTTCAGAAGACACACGAGGAAAATATTCCTACTGTATATATGTAATTACATATGTAGTGACATTGCTGGATGTCACTGTGTGTGGCCAACCTGGGAAAGGCACGCGGATGCAGTACCGGCCCTAGCGGAGCTCGAGCACGGACTACCAGCAACCAGTGGCACCCTGCACTGGGTGCAGTGCCAGCCCTACAGGATAGGGTGCGGAGAGTGCCGGCTTCGGGAACGGGGTTTCACGGGGCCATGGCACTCTGATTGATCCCGGAGGACACGTGACTGGAGGAGTCTACCCGGGGACCCCCCAAAAGGGGGACCACGTGTCAAGCGGAGATCCTCCTCGAGAGTTCGAGAAGGGGGTCGTGGCTAGGGGTGGAGCGAGCCCCGCAACAGAGGATAAAAGCCAGTCTCCCAGCAGGACCGGTTGCTGTTGTGATGCTCAATAATCTACGTGCGACTCCTCCGCCTGAAGACAAGACCGACATGGGACCTGGACCCAAGCTTGGGTCCAGTCCATTGTAACTACTCCAAGTGTAGTTAGTGTAGTTAGCCTGGTGGACCACCACCATAGGTTAATATCTGGTGAAGGGGCAGTTACCCCTTTGTAAGTGTTGGTATGAATAAATGTGTTGCTTCCAACTGGTACATATGAGTCTCCGTATGAGCCCACTACAACTGGTGTCGGAAGTGGCCGAAAATTATTTACTTTAATAACTATAGATTATGGATACTAGAGGGAAAATATGTACCAGGACATCGGATGAACAAGGCGGCAATTCAACAGCCCCGGGGATGGCGACTCCGGAGGAGGGAGGCAAGGCGCCGCCGACGGAGTAGCATGCTGTCCGGCCGCACGACGGCTCACCACCGTCGGGGTGGGTGCTCCGGGCGGCACACTCCCGCCTTACTGAGCTTCTCCATGCCGCGCCGAGATCCACTGCGGGGAGTCAGCGGCGGAGGAGAGATGGAGCCGCGCGGGGCCACAGTTCCCGCCGAAATTTCCGCGATTCCCGCCAAAACTTCCGCGGTTCCCACTCAAGATTTCTGCAAATTGGGAGCCTCCTCGGGCGCAGCCCGCGCATACGGCCACCATCTTGTTGGCGGAGCGAAGTTCCTGCCAAAACCGAAGCTGCACTGCGATCGCCGGTGCACGTCTCATCTCTTCAATGCCGACTACCCGTCCTCAAAGAATTTCAGCAGCTGGAGGCAACTTGGGCGGCCTTCCAGCGGCGCTTCCTCTCCAACAGCGAGATGGCGGGGTGAACAGAGGCGGAGGCGCTGAGAGCGCTTCCCGCTGACCTAGACGACGACGCTCTGGCGGCGTTTGTCACCATCCCGCCGGGGGACAGGTTCTCACTGCAGCAGGCACTCAAGCAGATGGCGGTGATCTACGGACCGCCGTCCAACACACGCCATCGGTTCGCTGCGCGGAGGCAGGGGGAAGCAGAGACGCCCCTCGCCTTCCACAGCGCGCTGCTGGCGTTGGCGAAGGCCGCCTTCCCCAGGATGGACAAGGAGGGACTCGACTCTCTGGTCCTCGAGAAGCTTCACATCGTCATCCACACCATCGATGACGACGACTTATGCTCCCTCAAAGTTGCAAGGTGCATCCAGGCACACTTGCTCTTGCAAGGGGAGAAGGGGCTGGTGGCGTATACTGCGCCTTGTGAGGCGCAGGTTACACTGGAGAATTCGGAGCCTGCCCAAGCCTGCGCATCGACCTGGGGCGGAGGTTTGAGAAGGGACGGCATGGCGCGACGGGATGGCTTCCAACACCGGGAGAGGACGTGACCTCGTCCGGAGCGCGGCCTCACCATCTGCTACAACTGCGGCCTCCAGGGCCACGTCTCGTCGGGTTGCCGAGAGCCACGACGACTTATCTCCGGACCACAGCTGTTGTCCGCCCGACCATCCTTCTCTCCACTGCAACCAAGGCGAGTCGCGACACCTCGCACACTCGGCCCCTGAATCCACCTCACTCATCTTGTTGTGCCAGTTCTCGTTTTCGTCGGGCGTCGGCGAGTTCAGAATGCAATCGGGCTGACTGGCCGCTCTGACCAGGTCAGTGGTCGGAGCTGGCCTATAGGATAGTTTCCGCGACCGCAGGTTCGTCCATCATTATTCGTTTCATCGAGGGGGTCAATTTTAGGATTCTCGTCGATACTGGTGCGTCGGCAACCATCATTTCAGAGCTAATTTATATTTTGACCGCTAAATGCCG